CCACCTCCTACGGCTGGCATCCAACCTGGTATGATAATACATACAAGATTGAGAATGTACCCAGTGTATACTAGCATGAATGCTTGGCTTCTGTCTCAGCTTGGTGTTGACTTGTTGGCATTTCTGTTTTTCCAGACAACCAAAGGAGCTTCAGCTTTCAAGATCTGCCGTGGTGTTGAGGCAGTTGGAGGCAGCCTGAGGTCAGTAACGTCCAAGAAAGGTCAACGAACAACTGAAGTTTCTGTCTTGCTCGCTGTGTTCTTATCTGGATATCTGTATGCTTGTGTTTCTCTGCAGTGTGTCTTCATCCAGAGAGAACATGATCTACACCGTTGACTGTTTGAGAGATGACATGTAAGTCTGAATAATATACACTTTGTTATTAATACTACATGATTTAGAAATTTACATGGATAGTGAAAAAAATGTCCCACGTTCGTAGTACAAGGAGAATCAGTATTCACTTTAGACTAAAAAAGGTGTCTGTAAAACACTTTGCTTGTGTGTGGCTGAGGTCAGTTACATGAGGATGACAGCATAATGTGACAGCGGTCTCTTGCATCATATTTTTCTGAAACAGTTACAATGTGGTACATTGGGATGTTCACCGGTGAGGCAGATTAGGCTGCAGGTGTGTTTCATGTGAAGCGGGATGATGGCACAGTTTCAGCACTTCATTTCATACGTTATTTGTCTGCAGTGACACAGTTATGGAGTATCTGATCAACGTGACAACAGCCCAAGAGTTCCGGCCATGGGAAGTGTCAGACCTCACGCCCAGAGTGAAGATGGACAAGGCCATGGCTGCACAGAGTGATCAAATAGGTGGGCCTGTATTTCCCTTACAGTGCACAAACAGACTATATGGCCAGCAATAATCTGAGTTTGGACCTCACCCAAGTTACACACTGGTTGATCATAGAACTACTAACTTCTCATTCCCACTAGCGTGCTTTATGAATTGTTTTGATCTAGTTTTACGTGAACATTTTTATCAAATGTCTGGTAATTTACAAAATGTATTAATTACTGTGTTATTTATAAAAGTAAATGGAATTAGATGGGCTCACCAGATCTAACAACTGTTTCTTGAGTCGCCACCACACAGGCAGATATAATGATTTATTGATTAGGAACCCATCAGAAATTTTAGCTTTAGCATTAGAATATTGCAGTTCATGATCATTCCTCTGTCTGTCTTTACCAGGTGTGATTGAAGGTCTGCATGGAGCTGCCTACAAGAATGCTCTCTGTAACTCCCTGTACTGCCCCAACCACATGGTTGGCAACATCCAGTCTGAAGATGTAAGTATTTTTATTCTTTAAGACTTATGGTGTTATTAAACTAATTGAAACTCTCTTTCTAATGTTTGTATTTTTCTCCAGCTACACCAGTTTGTCCAGAACAATTTCACAAGCGCAAGAATGGCTCTTGTTGGACTTGGTAAGGCTCATTAGCATAATTACCCTGTAATGATATCAGTAATGTGTTAAACTATTAACCAACATTAAATTACATGCTCTGTTTACTCCTAATGCCCAAAAGATCTTTAAGGTTATGATGTTTGTCTTTCCTTCAGGTGTCGACCACACAGTGCTGAAGCAAGTTGGGGAGCAATTCCTCAACATCCGCAGTGGTGCAGGCAGCACAGGGGCCACGTCTCAGTACCGTGGAGGTGAGCCGAAACTGCCATCCACAAATCTGCATGTTAATCACACACCAGCTTTAACACTTCCAACTATTGCCTCCATGTCTCATCCTCTCCTGCCTCTCTCCAGGTGAGGTTCGTTTTCCCAACACCAGCAGTATGGTTCACGCAGCGGTGGTGAGCCAGTCGGCAGCAGCCGGCTCCAGCGAGGCTCTGGCCTTCAGTGTCCTGCAGCATTTACTGGGAGCTGGTCTGCATGTTAAGAGGGGCTCATGCGCCTCCAGCAAACTGGTCCAGGGTGTTACTAAGGCCACTGCTGACCCCTTTGATGTGAGTCGTTGTCAGTTTGTAATATAAAGTTGTAACAGTTTATACACCAAGGCCTTGCCTGGCTCAGGGTGGGACTACGGTAGTGTTTTGTGCATCTTAACCATAAAAACGCTAAAACCTTCTCTACAAAAATTGTATCATAATTGCAACAGTACTTGTTAAAACATTTTCTTTTTTTTCCCTTTTTTTCTGAACAGGTCAGTGCTTTTAATGCAAGCTACTCCGACTCTGGTCTGTTTGGGGTCTACACCATTTCCCAGGCTGCAGTTGCTGGTGATGTGAGTATCCCACAGTTTCGACACGAGTCAATTCCTCACCACAAGCTGTTCAACAAACTAAAAGCAGTCTTTTTTTTTGGTGGGGGTCAAAATTAAACTGATAAAGGGTCTCGATATAATCTCTGTCCTCTTCTGTCCTTCCAGGTGATTAAGGCTGCTCTGGCCCAGGTGAAGGCTGTTGCTGATGGTGGAGTCACAGCTGCTGACCTCACTCGGGCCAAGTAAGACAAGCAGACAGACAGAAACTTTGATATGATGCCTCTTTCTAACATGTAATCTAAATTGTGAATCCATTGAGAACTCAAATTTTATATTTTAGTTTCCAATAAACACCACCAAAGTGGGGTTAGTGGTAAAACATTATGTGTATGAGAGCCATGCTAAGTAAGCATGAAATAGGTTGCACTGAAGTAAATTTCGATCAGCCATTGAAGGCTACACCCCTCTCGTTCTGTATGGTAACTATGTACCTGGACCAGGTTAGCCCGGAAACAGAGAGAAATAGCTACCCTAGCTCCTTTGTCCAAAGATAAAAGGAAATTGCACTGCACATAACATGTAAAAAGGAATTGTTGCAATTACACATTGATTTTTATACAGATTAAAGGTTCATTGTGTAACATTTAGGAGGATCTATTGACAGAAAATGTATACAATATAACATTAGTGTATAATCACCTGAAAATAAGAATCGTGATCATAAGATTGTGAAGTTTTTCCCAACTGTGGCAATATCTGCTGCCCTCCCCTCGACACACAGCGCCACTCACCAGATCAGTCTCTCTGTTTAAACTGTGTGGAAATCTTCATATGGATAAAAAAATGCCAGGAGGGGCGCCTGGATAGCTCACCTGGTAGAGCCATGCACCAAAGGCTGAGTCCTTGCTACAGCAAACATGGGTTCAAATCCAACCGGTGGCCCTTTGCTGAGTCATCCTCTCACTCTCCCCCCACCCTCCTGTCCATCCTCAGATGCTCTGTCTCATAAAGGGAAAAAGCCCCATAAAATAAAGAGTGCCAGGAGAATTTTAAATTATTGAGAGCATCTGAAGGCCCCTTGAGATGCTGCATCTCATTTTCGAGGCAATCCTCACCACAGCTAGTCTTCAAGAATCCATCTTTACATAATAATCAAGTACCTGTTTAGCCAATACATCATGATAATCATTCATCAATATGGTGATAACTTCCATTTAGCCAAAATATACTTTTTATACCTTTTTATTTATTTATTTTTTTTTTATAAATATAATTCCTTCAAAGTCTTCACTACACGAATCTGGACAGACATGGATGTAAACTGCAACTTGACTGGTTGGTGGAGATGTACTAGTTTAAATGTTATTTATTTTTCCTTTCAAAGTGGGAAAACTCTCTTACCTACATCTTTACTAAGTGAAAACATGTAGATTTGCCCCAAAGTATAATTCTTGTATGTATGTTTATCTGCTAAGAAAGAAACTGAAATCCATATAGTCTCATGTCTCAGGCAGTGTCTTGCTGTTCCAAGTTTTTATTCATGAGACAGTTGCCCCATGGTGCCTGATGGTGGTGCCATTCTTTGTTTTCTAATGCCATGAAGCCAAATTCTTACTCTGGACTGGTTACTTGTCAAACTCACACTGTACACAGATTTTAAAAAAGGAAAAAACTGGACTAATTAAAACATCTCACCTCCTCTCCCACCTCATACTTAGCATTTAGAAGAAAATACATCCAGTTAAATGTTTTCCTCCTACTGTGTTTTGCACTATTGTATCTTTATAAAGGGCTTTGTTTTCTCTGCAGGGCCCAGCTAAAGGGGCATTTCTTGATGTCTCTGGAGACTTCAGAAGGTTTTCTGGAGGCCATGGGCACTCAGGCTCTGGCCGAGGGAACCTACTGCTCCCCGGAGGAAATCTCCAAAAAAATCGACAACGTGTCTTTGACCGATGTCGCCAACGTAAGACATTTGGTTCTCGTCAGTGCTTGCCGATCCTTCTGCTTTTATATATTTACTACAGTTGGATAATGATATTAGGATTTGCTTCATTTATTGTGTGAAAACTTAACTTCCTTTTCTTTTTATTCCCAGGCTGCCAAGAAATTTGTGTCTGGCAAGAAGACTATGGCATCCAGCGGGAACCTCTCAAAAACACCCTTCGTGGATGAGATCTAAAGCCCTCCTCATCACCTCGTACTGTAACTCTTGACGACAAAGCAGAATTTGTTTCCTCTTACATTTTGACAAAAAAAAAAAAACCCAGAATGGTCATCATCACCTTTTTGCAATGCTGTGGTCCTGAGACTTATAATGTCATAACACCACTGGGTATTTATAGGTGTTGTAACAGTATATTTTCAGGTGATGCTGCTCTGGCACATCACAGTGTCGTTGTCCACTCATCTGTCCACATTAACTGTATAGCTGATGTAAAATACTGAATAAATTCTATCTACCTTACAGAGTTTTTAAGTGTTTGTTGTGGTGTTATTACGTTTACTATAACATGTATGAGTTTCAGCTTCACAGTCCTAAATTAAGGTCTACTTCTGGAGCTTTTGGCTGAATCAGACTAAAGCGAACTGTAAATGAAGACTGTAATGAAGTTGAAAGCGAGTAAGTGGACCTTGAGTTGAGATTTTGACTGCAGGAGTGTAACCTAAAATGTTCCCCAGATGTTTAGCAACTCATTTGTAATACTGTTTGCATAATTTATGCTGATGCAAAAAGTACCAGGAGCCCTCGGCTATTTATGAGTGTTCTCGCGAGAGTTGTCCACTACAGACATGGAGACGCGAGCTGACTGAATTTTTAGTTTCCATTGCTGGGAGAGGACAGCATCGTCCTGCAGGAAGCACACTTGCTGTGCGCTCAGAAGCTTTTAAAAAGAGGTTTTTATAAACGGCGATATTGTGCGTGTTGTGCGGGTTAAAGCTCCAGAAGAGGCGCTTTGAGGTGAGCATGGGCGGCGTTCTTCCGCCTGTGTGCGACTGAGTCCAGAGGAAAGAAACCGCTTCCATATGGGGGGAGAGAGAGCTCGGGGGCTCCGTGCAGACTCAGGAAATAAGTGGACTGCATTCATGAATCCGTCTTCATTTCAGCTCCGTTAATATCCGATTAAAGCAAACGATTTGTGTTCATTCTCCACTCCGCTTTCTGGAAATGTCACCGGGATGCATCCGGATCTAGGAAGCCCATGAGCCCGGGCAGCGATCCTCTCCTGGGCTGGAGAAGGGCCAGCAGGTCGAGCCAGGCTCGGCTGCTGGAGAACTAATGAAAGGGAATACTTTGAGGGAACATCTCGCCTATCTCGCCGCCTGGGATCAAACACGATGTGCGGACAGATCGTGGATCAAACTGAGCCCATCACCGTCACCGCGAGTTCCTTAACGCAGGCTGGGATGATGGGACACCAGATACGGGTTTAGGTCGCTGACTCCTAAATGTCCCGCCTCCCTCTAGGTGAGAGAGAGAGGCACAGAAACACTCAGACCTCCACCTGTGTCCACCGACATGGATAAACTCACCGTGATATCAGGATGCCTCTTCCTCGCTGCAGACATCTTCGCCATCGCCAGCATCGCCAACCCGGACTGGATCAGCACTGGGGATTCAGCTGGTAGGTTGCTGCTGGACCGTTGTCCTTTTAAAGTTGATTTTTTTAAAGAACTTGTTTATGGTTCATTGGATATCACTGAAGAAATGAAACTCCAACAGTCTTTTTTTTTGCTGAAAAATGTGTGTCAGAAGTCAGTAAACGTGATGTATACATATAGATATATGATTAGATTAGATTTTGTGTTTTCAGCTGAATATCCACAAACCTTAATGCATCAATTGCACACAAATAATGCTATAATCAGAGCAGTTCTCTACCTTTTTTGGCTTGTGGCCCCTTCTGTGTCATCACAAATTATTAGGCCAAAAAAAGGAGACAGTGATTACTGCAACAATGCAGAGGCAAATTCATTTCTCTCAAAGTCTTAAATTGTCTCCTGTCCTGAGTTCAGCAAAGGTCAAACAAATGTAACCAAAGTCTCAAGATTTAGATTCTAAACAGCGATATCATCTTCACCCGTCCTTCAGCATGAAATAGGGAGTGTGGCTCCCACAGCATCAGGCCTGCCCTCCAGGAGTCACTCATACTGTATGTGCTGTCATTATAGTGCACTTTAAAGCAGCTTCTTACTGTTAACCACAGTTTCTACAAGACAACTTTCTGCCAAAGTTTGAACTGTGTTTGTGTTTGTATCTGTCCTTTTCTCACTGGTTTGATGTGTGCATGACATCAGCTGTAAAAAGGTGATGTCATACACACATCAGGATTTTACAGTGTTTCAATCAGAAAGTGATTTCAGTTGTTGGGTTGTTTATGTGACTCTGCCAAACCTGTCAATCAAATCTGATCAAACCGTACCAACGCAGTCCTCATGAAGTCTTTAAAAGAGTGTTATACAGTTGTAGCATTGCACTCTTCCTTTTACTTGGCACAACCTAACCTAGGGCCTTCATTACCCACAATGCAACTCAACCACAACAGTTCTGTTGTAGAGTTTTGGTGTTAAGCTAATAGTGGCTAAAGTAGGTTAAGCAGAGATGAGGAGTGGGCAAGATATTTTAACTGTGTAAAATCAGTTTAAAATGTCTAAAGACGTCCAAACCTATGTTATATATTTTGTTGTGTTGAGTATTTACATTATCCCAAAGGTCTCCAACAATGTTCAAACCCTGTAATTAGGTAACGGTACTTTCCCTACTTACCTTTAGTTGCTATAACTTCCAGATAAATACATCAGAGAGTGAGGAAGGACATCGACAAACTAGAGCTGCACGATATGGTGAAAACATCGTATTGCGATTGTTTTGACAAATTCAAGATTATTGTGATAATCATCATTTTTCATCATACATTTAATTTTCACAAAACAAATCATCATGTTTGAGGGTCTGTACCAAACAAACATGCTCTCTTAAATCTTGAGAACAGGATTTGTAGACCAGGGCACTTCTGCAGCACTACAGTACTTCATTATAATGCAAGTTTGTCCCACATGTTACCTTCATTAAAACATTGCAGCTTCTTGCGATTTGCATATTGATTCTGCAGTTTGCATATTGCACAACAAACGTAATTAATTATGAATAAAACTTTTTCTCGTCCGTGAACAACTTGTCACAGATAGACTTTCATCAGGAATGGAGGTTGTTTAAGAATAAAGACAAGAACTCCCATAATCCCACACTACTTTATGACTTCATTTGTTAGTATTTTGATGCGAGACTCTCCTAGTGGCAGAAATTACATACTGTGTGTTAAGTTTTTAACAAGTCATAACTAAAGATGATTTAAATTTGATTTATCATATTTTGTTAATGTTATATAAAATACTTTAGATTGGAAATCGTGTATAAATACATGTATTATGTACCATAGGGACAAAATAATCAGGATAATTTACAGCTGCTGATAATTTGATGAATATTGTTTTATTATTTGTTTATTAAATATTGGCATCTGACATCAGTCTCTAACTGTGATTAGTTATCCCCAATATGACCATGTTACAGCCAATAATTATCACTTGTAGGAACACAAATTTCATTAATTGTACTGCCAGTCCTAGAATTAAAGTTTTCACATTAAATCTTCTACTTGCAGCCAGCCTCTCTGGTTATTGAAATAATAATATTCAAACCAGAAGCTAAACATTGACTAAAACTGATGCATTAGACCAACAAACCACTATAGTATATGCACAGCTGCCCGAGGTTCTTGTCAGCCTCCATCCTGATGCCACAGTGAGAGATAAGCACATAACAGGTGTGCTGAGTGGTTATTACAGGATTGGATTTGTTGTAAAAAAAAAAAAAAAATACTGACTGCAGCTTCAGGTTGAGTACATAACAAGCATTTTTTGGTTGCATAATTAAATGAGTAACCATGCACCAAATCACTTTTTTCTCAGTTATCATAGGACACAATAGACCGAAGTTGAGAACAACTCGCACTGTGAGGGTTTTAACCTTCCTATTCCTCATAGTAAACGCTGGTGTGAAATTACTGTACTTATTGTACTAAAGGCCTTTTGTTCCTGTTTAATCAGCTGAAAACTAATTACCTGAAGGTAGGAAATGTTGTTTGGGAATGAAGATGTGTGACTCTTAATTAGGCCTCCTGAGAGAGTAATGCTTTCCACCTGGAGAATTAAAGCTCCTCAGGCTCAGTCATTATTTTGTCTATGAGCGCTTATATACGTGTATGTGGAAGTCAGGAACACAAAAAGCCCAGCTATGATACATCTATGTAGTTTGCTCTCTAGATTTTAAACACCCAGATGAGGAAAAAAAATGGAATAAACGTAGAAATTGAAGCTCACTGCGAATATGCAATTTGATAACTTCTTGTTAGTTATCACGACGTTTAAAACCACTTTAGTTTATAATAGCTGTTGATGTTTTCATGAGCCGCTCTATCATTGCTAATGCTTTGCCTCCAACCACAAGATATGTATGCCTATTAGCAGTCTGTGTGTGTGCGTGTGAGAGAGACACTGTGCACCAATAGCAGTGCTGTATATGCGGTGTGTTTGTGTTTAAGTGTTGTGTTGAGAGATTTGAAGCAGCAGGAGAGTTTACGAAGTACTAAGTACAGGTTGAGGTTGGCCACTTGTAAAACACTCACACTCGAATGCGCACCGCGGCTGTGGCAAACATCTGATGTCACAGCTGGCAGACACTCTCAAATAAAATCGATGCCATGAGGTACTTGGGACGGGAATCCCCCACTCACCACCGGATACACTTATGTATCCATTTTTTAAGGAGCAGATTCAGCGTGTATTGCATTTAGTTGAAAATACTGGATAATGCAGAACAGTTGATTGACACTGTTAATGATATTCAGTGTCAAAAATGTATAGTTTAAGTGTGTATGTCCAGAGTCTGTTTAAGGAAGAGGTGCCTCTTTTCTTCTTCCATGTTTGCATGTGGACTGGACAATGTTGACATGTTGCCTTTGATACCTGGAAGATCAGGCTAAATCCGGGGGCTTCGGCCTCGTCCCTCAAGGCCCTGAAGCCCCAACTGTTCCTGTGGAGCTGCTCAGTGGCCAACAAATCAGACTCTGGATGATTGTGTGAATGTGTAACTGAGTTTAGAGCTCAGAGTTTCTTGGTAAACAGCTCAGCAAACTCACTCTGGGTGAATAAAGGTAAAAATGTTGAATAAGAATGTAGATTTTGGACACTTCTCTAAACCGGGTTAGTCCTCTTATAACCAGTTTGTTAAAGAGGTCTCAGACTGATTTCTTTCCATATGCAATATTCCATAACATCACAGGGAACTGGGAGTCAGTATGGCAGGTGTTAACAGCTGTAATACTTATATTGTAGTTATTCCCTATATATAAGTGTAGTAATACCTGAAATACCTACAGCCAGACAATTTTTTAAAGTTGTTGTGGCTCCCATAAAATGAAGGCATGTGTAGACTTTGATTTCATATAAAGTTAAATTTCTAATAAACCTCTTTTACTTTTTCGTATTTTATTCTTATGCTGTCATGGGTCTCATTCATAATCATTCAACCGTTGTTATTGTTCACAATTTTTTTACACTTTATATTTTGGGCTTTAATTGCCTTTATTTGATAGTAGCAGTTTTAGAGAGACTGGAAGGTGGGATGACTTTAGGTCACTTTCCATAATGGCATCAAGCAATAACACTTTTTTGTCAGACTTGTGACTTGGTTGTTTTTCTTGGTATGGAGTCCAGTATGCAGGGAAGTGAATGCACTATTTACATTGTCCCACACCCTGCGGTATGAGAGGATGTGTTGAGAGGGAACAGGATGTCCTGTGTATAGGGGGGATAGGTCAGCCTGCAGGAGGATGTGGTTCAGGCTTTATGTTCCCTTAAGCCTTGTTCTGGTATCATCAACCGGCTCTGTATCCACGATCAGGAACTGAAGTCATTTCAAGCTGATTAATATTTAAAGCGATGTTTTTATTCTCATGGTTCGATGAATATAGGAGTCTTATGTGGCAGAAATAAAATCTGCTGTCTGTTTTGTTGTGTATTTTGTGTTTATTTTTTCCCATAATTTTACTTGTATATCTTTAAAACAATATATAGTTCTAAAATACTGAACAGTTAAATGTAAATTGACGAGTCTTAATGGCTCCAAGTACCAGGTGCTTGTACAAAAGAGCTTATTTTATTTAATTTTCCTCCTCATTACAAGATGTTTCTGTGCCTCGCTGTGTTTCTGCTGCGCTCTTTGTGATATTGGTTACTTGTAATTTTGTCCATCATGACAATTATGTTAATTCTACAATCAGTGGGTTTAAATTACCCTGAATAAATCCCAAAAATCCATAAAATGTATACGGCTTTCTTCTGTGTCTGCGTGGCAGGCACTAACTGCTCACTGAAGATAATAAGTAAGAAAAAGAAGCAGACAAAAGAATAAATGAAGGTGTGGGAGGATTTAATTTTGCATTAATGTGTTCTGTGTTGTGTGGAGGCTTCTATGTAGTTGGATGCAGAGTTGAGCTGATGTAGTTGGGCTCCAAATGTGTGTGTGTGTGTGTGTGTGTGTGTGTGTGTGTGTGTGTGTGTGTGTGTGTGTGTGTGTGTGTGTGTGTGTGTGTGTGTGTGTGTGTGTGTGTGTGTGTGTGTGTGTGTGTGTGTATATGCAGAAGCCCTTGTACCCAGCAGGCTTTGTGAGACAAGAGGCCGTCAGATGACTTGCCATCTGATGTTGGGGTCATTGATTTCTTCACTTTCTGTCTCGGCTCTTAATCTTACAGATTCTCTCTCTCTCTCTCTCTGATGTTTTTCGGTGGTTCATGCCAGGATCCTGACGTCATACATGAATCACTGGGGGTCGCTGTTGCCGCTGGCACACCGCCCATCAGAGTGTTTCCATACCAACAAGTTCCTCGGCCTTCGTCACTGTGGGGAATCAGAGGGACTCTTGGGAGGTCATCGTGTCTTACAGCCAGAGTCCACATATATTGCTGTGCATTAGAGTTTGTTATATAAAGAAAGCAAACTTATCAAGCAGGCTGATGCCTTAATGTGTAGTAGACTGGAGTATTAATATTATTATTATTATGAACCATGTGTTGCACATCTTTACTGGCTAAAATAACATCTGGAATGAAAGTTCAGAATAAAAACCAGCTTCATCAGGACTGTGTGGGTGTGGTTTGATCACAATTGATTGACTGTGGCCTGGAAACAGAACTGTCATCTGATTTTGATTCAGATGTTGCTGAACTGAGCCCCACCAACGTCAAACCAAAAACACAAATACAGAAATGTCACAAATAACCAAAGCTGTTCTAACTTTGGCAGAATATTTTGTAAATACGTTTTCAGGGCCTTTAATATAGGTTTATAGATATTAATACACAGGTAAAACAAGTTTTTTTCCTTTCCTTAAAAGTCCTCTTGGAGCAGCTTTATCAATTGTTCAAAATCAAAGATTTCAATATTTAATTTCTCTCATGTTTTAACTCATGCTGCTGTACCCTTACTGTGTTTAATTCAGACGCAGCGTTAAAGCGTTACAGAAATATTACCATGTCTGACCTGGGGACCGTTTTTTCACAGTCTGCGGTACGGTTTCTAATCCTGAAGGTGACGTCTGTTTTCATGGTTCTACCAGTGCTCTGCCAGCCTGTGTTGACTATGTGTTGTCAGCCAGTGGGTCTTTGTCTCCAATATCAGCTTGGTAGATAACTGGGTGATTCCAGTGGTACGGATGGAGGGTTATTACTGCGGAACAACCTCGGTCACTCTCTTCATTCAACGCTGTTGTGACTCATCTGTAAGAATCAATATAAAGCACTGGTTAATCAACACATTCTGTATTTTGGTGGGTTGTGGTCTTTCATAAATTTGCTGTGAGAGGCCTAAGACTGTTCTGTTAGCAGGAGCTGGGAAGTGTCCTTTGGGAAATAAAAGATTGTCTGAAGCTAAAAAGAGCAGGTTTATGTTCAGAAAGAGAGAGTTTTAACTACTGCGTCTTTCATCCTCGCTGTCTCCATCCAGGCTCTCTGACTGTGGGTCTGGTTCGGCAGTGCCAGATCATCCACGGCCGGGACAGGATCTGCATCCCCCCGCAGCTGCCTCCGGAGTGGATCACCACACTCTTCTTCATCATCCTGGGTATCATCTCCCTCACGGTCACCTGTGGTCTGCTGGTGATGTCACGCTGGCGACGCGAGGCCGCCCGATATGCCCGATGGATCGCCTTCACAGGGAGTAGGTGTTCAAAGTCTTTTCTCATGCTTCTTCATTCATTGTGAATATTGAAGTTGCAACGTCACTTAAATATCACGCTAATACTTTTTAGCTGTAAAGCCCTTTATAGTTTATTAAATACCTGTGAAAGTAAGAGAATGTCCTAAGAAATAAATGGAGCTTACCTCAGCATCAGAATTCTACGTTTCATTTCAGGAAAGCTTTTAGTCTGGTAATTATGATCATCTTGACAAAGTGACTGCCGACAAGCTCTAATTGATGTGGCGGTGTCTATTTTTACAGCAAGGAGACAGAGTTTGAATATTAGAGAGAACCAATGCAGGAGCTGTGCCTCTAAATATAGAAAAATAGAAAGAAGGTTCTCAAGAGTAGACCATCACTACTGTATAACTGCCTTAAAGGTCCAGTGTGTAACATTTAGGAGGATCTATTGGCAGAAATGGAAAATATTATTCATAGGTATGTTTTTTATTAGTGTATAATCGTTTTCGTTACCTTAGAATAAGATGTGTTTCATCTTCAGAGGGAGCAGGTCTTCCACCATGTTAAACCACTATGTTACTACAGTAGCCCAGAATGCCCAGAAAGTTTTTTGTGATTTTCGCGTCCCACCGTAGTTTTCATACACAGTTGGAAAGGTAGGGTGAAGTAAGGGTGTTGCAATCAGCAACTACAGTGTGAAATGCCACTAAACCCTACACACTGGACCTTTTAAAGGGTGTAAAGTTCCTCAGATTCTGGATAAGCGTTTTGCGGCTGACATGAAAAACCAAATATTTAATTGAACTAAAGTACCCCTTTATTGAAAACACCTTTTATTTCAACCATTTATTCATTACTTTACTACTACCAGTACAACTATTTTGTTGCTTTACTGTTACTGTTCCATTTGAACCAATTTTGCATTAATGTTACTTTCAGCTTACTATTTGAAGCATTTATTAAATTCTTGTAGCCAACAGTTATAGCTGTTCTATACTTGTAGCTATTTAATTTAAGCTAATGTTTTTAATTTAGCTATTTATCCATTACTTTTATCAAACTGTTTTAGCTCATCTGCTGGAGGCCTATTCAGGTGTTAGAGCTGACTTGATATTTTAATACTCTTCTTCATGTACTTGTTTTTTCTTTGTCACCAGTGGTTCTCTTCTGTATGGCTGCCCTCATATTCCCAATCGGCTTCTACATCAACGAGGTTGGAGGACAGCCATATAAGCTCCCCAACAACACAGTGGTGGGCTCCTCCTACGTACTCTTCGTTCTGTCCATATTTTTCACTATAGTTGGACTGCTGTTTGCTGGCAAGGTATGCTTGCCTGGCTGACATATTATCCTCCTCTTTTTGTATCTTTGGAGAAACACCACCATTGGGGGAAACTTTTGTTAGAACTGACTCTTCTGTGGCAGTGTTGGAAATACCAACGGAGCAGAATAAAACTGAGAATTGCCCGTTTGTGTTTTTCCTTTTGGATGAATTATGGTTTATCCGTCCATCTGTTTATTCAGAGGCACAGAGAGCTCTGAAATGGCTCTCCTCCTCGTCCACCCTGAACGATGAGTGCGAAGTGGTGAAAAGACAGAAGGATATTAAAAACCTTGATGGAAATGGGTTAAAAGCATCAGGATTTTCAAGGGAGCCCTGCAGTGTTTGCTCTTCTCATCCCGCCAACCAAGATGCACATATAGAGATTAGACTGATGTCAGGTCCGACACTGGCCAAAGCACCAAATATCGGCCAGTCACCTCCAATATGATAGAGGGTCTTCCCTGACCACAGCTACATGGAACAATCTGTAATATATACAATGAAGTTTAACTTTCTTGGCACATTTTATTTATTTGTTTAGTTGCTCTGTTATGTTTTTTTGGAAAGGTATTTTTTATTAAAAGGCCTAATGTATCCCAGTTTCCCTGCCATTAATATACTGTATGTGGTAGATCACTTTGCCTTAAAGAGCTGTTAACCTTAAAATAACTACAATATTGTTGAGTTTCATGGGATCAATTCTAACATTTTGGATTCATGAGATGATTTAGCATAAAAATGTTAGAACTGGAATGTAAAATGTGTCCAAAATGATTGGTCTTAGTTGATATTCAGAAACTAGTCAGTTGAACTCTTCTCTATATAATTATGGGGGTGAGTTATGTAAAGGATCCTTGGGTGTGTTGCAGGAAGATGAGCTGGTCTCTATGATGCTGTTGAGTTAAACCTTCAGTATGATGGATCAGCTGTGAGCACCAGAGCTAGACTCACATCAACAGCTCAAACCTGCTCTGGTCTCTGTTCCAATTTGTTGTTTTTAGTGATGTAGTGAATGTATTATTTACCCTTCTGAGCATTTCCTGTTGTTTAAACACTGTATCAAGAAATGACTGAATTTCCGACTAGTTTGTTTTATACATTTGGGACGTTGATGCCTACTTCATTTCTGTATTAATGAACAGACACAGTCTGTCATTTTCTAGAAGCACTGTGATGTTTTTGAATGAGCATGGAGGGTCTCATCTCATTAAAAATGACGCATTGGAACACTGATTGTCTCATCAGTTTCTTTTAGAAGACAATAATACTGTAATTAGTTACAATCTAAAACAGTTTACAGTGTCTGGAGGCCAGACGCAGACAAGATAGGAGCAACTGAAGCTTAAGAGTTATATTCATCACAAAAAATGGCAGGTTTTCCTTCTTTAAACTGACAGTATATTGGAAAACCAACATATAGCTGCTGTTTTGTGAGAACTGACTGCTTTGTTTAGTTAATTTCCATTTTTTTAAACTTCAGCTGAAGAGTTATATAGTTTTTCTCTGGGTTGAAAACATTCTTTGACTTCTTGGGCTCATGAAATGTTTCCACAGCTCATTTGACAAAGTCAAACATCTCAAGGTTGGAGCTAAAAAATGAAGGCAGCCTTGTTTTTTTGTTAAAACGTGACATTTTAGAGGTACACAAAGTTCCATCTGATGGCTAAAATGAATCTTCAGTCTTCTGCACATGCTTTTGTTTTTATTTATCTGCAGTGAGGCAGAGCTTGTTTAGAGCACAATCTCACACCCACTTTTCATCCTTTGTCTGGGTGGATGCACAAGATGTTTAGGTTGCCATAGGAACGTTAAAGAAAAGAAAATTGGTGGTGTGTGTTTCTGTTTTTCTGAAAAGATACAGTCGGCTATGGGTGACAGCAGCAGGAATACAGTGGTGTTAAAGGTCACATCCCACTTTGCCCACAACTGCCTTTGACCTTCCAGCCAAATCTCCCAGTGCTGCTATTTTAAGCCCTGAACATAATTTAGTCTAAGTGCATCCACTTTATCCCTTTCTTCAAATCTTGCAGAGAAAATTTGGTTGTGGTGCCGAAAAGTGATCAGAAGCTTCTGTCTTTCCTCTGTGGAAAATGGCCAAATTTAAACTGACAACAATCACATACTTACAGAAAGAAATATTTTTGTTGAAATACTTAAAAATAACATCTTTTAAGAGAGAGATTTCAGAATATTAGATGAAATTGAGACATCAGATCATATTCATGTGAAAAGAAATCTTTTCCAGAAAGTCTTTTTAAGTATATGAAAGAAGCATATATGAGAATTTGAAGACCTGCTCAGGTTTAACCACGCTACATGGTCCGAGAGCATGCTGGATGGAAACATGAGCAAGATCATCACTCATAAACAGAGAAACAAAATTTCAGAACATGACAAAATAATCTTCTCATTAAACAGATAAAGAGTAACTGGTTACCATGAAAAAACACAGTATAATACTGACACTGTTGAGTAGTACTGAAGGAACATGGGAACAGTGATCTTACCTCTTAATTCTTCTACAAGGCTTAAAACACAGACAGTAAGTTGCTTTAGTAGTGTAACATTTGTAAACTGCAGACACATAGAACATACATTTATTACACATTTTCAATACAAAAATATGTACACATGTGAATACTAAACAAAAAAAAAACAGATACAGCTTGCATAAAATGAATCTGCATGATAAAAAATATATGTTTATGTGAAAAGATCTGCAATGTATCTATAGATTAAAAGCAATATGAAATTATCTTAAATTGTAAGCTTGTCAGTTGAGTTTGGCACAGATTACATATGACTACAGTATGACATGTCATATATGTCAGACCCTGCAGTCACCGTGCCTGTTGGTGGATATGAGGAGCCACTACAATTCTCACCACAAGAGGGCATGACTGGTCAAATTTAACTCCGAGTAGTCCGCCACTGCACTTACTATAAATCACCAGAATGTAAATGTCCAATCCGAGGCAGATTTAAGGACATTACGTTTATAAAACCCAACCTTTTAAAACAGTCCAAAACCTTTTTTGTTCAACCTTTGTGTTTTGTGAATGCCTTAATACTGTCCACCTTGTTCAAAGGCAGAACCACATGGCAGCACCACATACAGTTCACTACAGCCCAGTCCCAATCCTCAATGTGTTCGATCCATTGTGGAGGTTTGTGTCAGGCCATGCTGGGACTGCTGTGCTGCAGCTTGGCCTTCCGAGCAGCTACGAGCAGCAGTATGCCGGTGAGGAGCTCCAGGCCGTAGGAGAGCCAGGCCAGTCCCAGAGACCAGCCGAAGGAGGTGTGAATATAGGCCAGACCCTCCGGCCCCACCAGTCTGTCCGTCTCAGCCATGGCCTGGTGCGAGTAGATGATGTAGAGGCTCACGCCAGACAACGTCAGCAGACCTGGAGAAAGATGCATCACACGCATAGTAAAAGTAGCAAAGCAGTGCTGGGTTTCCAAACTCAGTTGGACATTAAAGGTTATATGAGATTTAAAACTATTAAAAACTATTTGCTATGTAAAGATATAATGACGTCATGGCGTCCTGAGCAGAGAACGAGGTCACACCCACTCTGCTTGTGTTGCTATCCCTCACATGTTAGTGCATATGAGCTCCTCCGTGTGCAACTGAAACTGCTGTTTTCCTCACCTATGTTGGTGAATTAAGTTTGATTACTGTTGGAATAGTGGAAAGACGTTTTTTGGTGAGTTTTACTTTGGTTCAGTCCACTCTGAATGAAGTTATGATGTTACAGTTATCTGCCATGTAAAATTACTAATTGTCTATGGAATCTGGTGGTGAGTAATAACAATATAACGGACATTTCTGGTTAAACAGAAGGTCTAGGGATCCTTTCCATAATGTCAGACAGTGTCAGTAGCAAAAACAAGCACTTTTAGCTGACACACTTTGATGGGCGCATTTGCCCCCAAGGATGAGCCTGTTTTGGGCAGCAATGGTGGCCCTTAATTCACATCTAACTGAATTAGGGATTCATTCGATCAAACCAGTGCTGTTGGAGAGACTGTGGAACGATGTTTTTGTGAGTTTTATCTAGTTTCTGTCCAGTTTTATAATTATCTACTAGGTAAAATTACTGTCAAAGGAGTCTGGTGGGCCGTAACACTCAATTGTTTTGGTCTGAGATGCTGTGTCTCATCTATCTTGAAAATTCAGGGAGACAAAACTGTTTTGAGGGAGCCCTTGATATTTGTTCTAGTTAAATTAAATCTTATATTTTGTACTCATTATTTTGTCAGTTCAAGAAATACTGTTCATAGCCTTCATTTTGAAACTGGTACTTCACACATAAAAAAAAACCTTAATCCAAGTGGGCTCTCCAGGATGCAGAGTGGAGCTGAGTACTATCAAGGACCTCTACTCATTTGAGAAACATTTTATATGTATTTATATTTCTGGGAACCAATACTCAAGACTTCTTTAGGCAATGCACAGGCAGTTATAAAACAGAAATTCGTACCAGTCAGAGCTCCGTGCTGAGAGCTCATCAATAAAACAATAACATCAAGCCATTAGGCACCCAAAATCTCATATTGTGCAAGAGACAGGAAATATACTGACGTATGTGCTGTCTGCTTACACGACATCCTGGTCATCAGAGAGTAGACTGAGACCCACACAGACACACAGACACACAGTCCCCACACGTTTTATAGTGTTGCTATTGGAAACCCTTTTAATTCTGACAGCTTGCTACTGGTTTTAAGGAGATGCAAGTGGAACACAGAGGCTACCCAGGGTGGGACTAATAATGCTTTTATTACGATTACATCCCGAGGTGCTATGAGCTCACAGAACGAAGAGGAAGCTGCATCTGATTCTTATGCAGTTCACTGTGAGGAGCAGACAAACACAGAGAGAGAGACTGGAACCGGCCTCATATACTGTACATGCAGAAAGAACTACTACTACCACTACTACTACTAGAGCTAAAACAAATAGTTAATTAATTGATTGGTGGATGTTATCAGCAATTATTTTGATAAATAACAAACCGTTTGGGCAATTTTCTGAGCAAAATAACCAAATATTCACTGGTACCAGCTTCTCAAAAGTAAAGATTTGCTGCTTGTTTATGTCCTCTGATAGGAATCTAAATATGTTTGGGGTTTGGACTGCTTTCAGAAAGTTTGCGCTCTGGGAAATTATGAGCTAGGCACTGACAGAGATGGCTCAATAAACAGACATGTCGATGTGTCCAGACTGAAATATCTCAACCGCTAATGGATGGACTGCCAAACAAATTTAGCTCAAATCTTCACTCTTAGTCTTTATTTTATGACATTTTATAGACCAAACAGTCAGTCACTTACCAATACTACTTAAAAAACTACCACTACAACAACGAACACTACTAACACTTCAACAGTCTGTTTTTACCCTTATTCTCACCCTCATGCTGCTGCTGTAAATAGATTTTTTAGGCACTCCAATATAGACAACAACAGCAATAACAACAATAATGTGGTCAGTATTAATGACGATGCATCATGCACTACTGCTTTTTGTTATAAGAGTGGTTTTCAACGTGGAAACACTTTCTTCTCATTTCAGAGTAAACCTGGAATTATGTACACAGGAAGCAACGGCTAACAACCCTACAGGGAGCCCAGACAAATACTTATTAGGCTGTTTATTGGGTGTGAGGAAAGGAAAGTAGGTGTAACATCAGAGCGAGGAGCGAGAACAAAGCATATATATATATATATATATACACACACACACACATGTATTTTTTGGTGTTAATATATAAATTCATATTTGTGTTGGAGGCTTACTAATGCCAACTAACTATGGATGCAGTCCGAAAATGCTCAGGTATTAAATGTTAACAAATAATTGCTTCATGATATAACTAAATCAAACAAAAATCTTAATTTTACGAGCAGCAACAAAGACACCAAAAGGAAGAAAGCCTTGCTTAGCCAGAAACAGACAGTCAACAAGTTCACAAGACAGCTCCAATCTAATTCAAGCCTTTATTCCTTTCCACACATTGCCATGTGCTGCTTATTAAAGGGAGACTATAAAGAGTCTTTTTAAGTAAGTGTTTATCCATCACAAGGTCCTCTTTATGGAGGTCATAAGGCGCTGGCAGGAGAGTACCCAAGGGATCCAGAGGGAAGAGCTCTGCCAGAAGCTCAGGCTATGTGCTATGTTTATGTGTAAATGAATAACTTGATTACTGTAAATACTCAGATTAACATAATAGCTTTAACACGGTTAACGGTAATGTAACTATCCCAATTACCTAAATTTACATGATTTATTTGATAGCCAAATAATTATCAGGTCTGGTGTATGGTAGCTTATAGAAAGGAGAAAGAGATAGATCTATATGAACTCTTAAAACAAGCATTTGTATGTAGTTTTAGTTGAAACATGAACCTTTTTTTTACTAAAAGAAAAACCCAACAAACAACCAAAAAGCTACCAGCTGTTGTTCTCGTGTATTGTATTGTAATAAAAACATATATTGCAAGAAAGTAGTGATTCCAAACAAATTATATTAAATTAACGTAATTATAAATGAACAGCTGTTAACAGTGTTTACTGCACTGAACATTGTTTTTACCATTTAATGTTTAATTTTGCCACGTTGTGATATGCATCAATAAAAATATATCACCAACTATTTTCTTTTACACACAACTTTTAAAAGAAATACAATATATCCTTTATCTGTTTAGTGGATACATTTCAGGTCCTAGATATCCGCTGCAGCAACTTGATGTCCCAGCATGTGCAGGTTTCCGGAGGTCTTAACAAGTGTTGTCCCCAGCTGTCTCGCACAAACAATGTGAAATTATAGACGGTAAGAAATGAAATACAGAACATTAGAGACGCAAATTTGCGATGCAGTTGTTTCCAAAGCAATTTTACCTCACTGTTGTGCCTCCCCACAGGCCAATAAAAGCTCTCATAAACTATCCCACAGAGTACAGGAGGAGGCACTTCTGATGTAAGAGAGGAAAGAGCAGCTACATGCCGCAGACACAAATATTCACACACCTGCCTGTTCGTGCATACTTAGCCAATATGGCCAAATCAAACAGCCAATCAGTCTTAGGCGGTAATAAAAGTCAGACCCTTTGGCCACATGAGGTCAATAACCATAACTGAGGTCAGTTTCAGCCCTGCACATAAAGCGCACTCGCCCGCTCAGATGCACCACATGGCCCCACTTTACTGCCACAGTCCAGCTGGACGTACATTCCACCAAACCCTCCACAGTTTTCAGTTATCAGTGCACTCAGTGTTGAATGGACGGAGACCATTTTTTAATTAAAAGAAATGGTAATCTTATTTTTCATCATTCTGTTTCTGTGTTTTCCATCAGAACAACTACCAACATCAAATTAAATACTTACAAAAGGATTTGGATCATTTGTATGTCATTATCTATTAAATCACTGTGTTGTAATTGGCATATTCTGTATGTTTAGCATGACCAAACTAAAACTAATTTCCAATGTATTTATATTTTTAAAGAAGTGGGGGTAATTTCCCATTAAATGTATGTGGGGGGAAAATGCCTTTTATAATGAAAAAAGGTTGAGATAGAGTGCACATTTCTGATGTATCCTGTTCCTCACCGCACACAGCCATTTGAGTGAAATGATCATGAACAGCATGTGTTGGGACAATTGACTGTTCTCTCCTTTGTACCACCACCTAATGGCTCCTGCGTTATTTAACACTGAGGTCAATGATCCAAAGCAGAACTTCTCTCTTGCACTTACTGTGATAAATTCTGTTACATCTCCTCCTACAGCTTCGTGGCAATAATAATGTGTAATTCCAATGTTTCAGCAACCATTGAATCTTAAGTGTGATAAAAGAGGCATTGTCTGCTGGATAGAAAACACAAGCACAGTAGTTGTGAGACGGCACTGTCCATATTTTGGATGGGAACTCCCTACTCCCTCTCTTTAAAGAATTGCCAATAGTAATAGATACACTGGTAGCACTGATTCATCTTGGTGCACGAGTGTTACTGGGCATTGTGCTTTTTCTTCTAATGGATCTGTGCTGAATAGCTGTGTGTTTTCAGTTTTCACACACAGCAATTCCCTGCTAAAGTTACCGATGTCACCCACAAGCACACCCTGAGGTGAAACAGCCTCTCTCCAGGATCTGATTTTTTCCCTCCTCTACAAGCCGAGGATGGATACAGTGAGAGCACACCTGAGTGAAGGAACTGAACCTCAACTTACTGCAGATGAAGAAGTAGGAGGCTGTGCCGGTGAGGAGGACAGGGTTACGAGCTAGGGAGCTGACCAACCCACAGATACCACCAAACAGCAGCAGGACCAGGCTGAAGGGAAGCACCACCACTATAGCACTGTGCATGTCTGCATATAAAAAAATAAAAAAAACACACACACACACACAGATGGGTTATGGAGCATCTGTGGAGTTATGGCTGCCTTGACAGCGAAACTTCATTAGCAGAGTATGTTATTATGATGAGAACAGTTTCACCAAAGCTGGATGAATAGACTCACTCAGCATGTGCAGCTCAGTGTCAGAGTATCTGGAGGAGTCAGCTGTGAATGAGTCAATAGAGTCTGCATTCATCTTCCCACCTGGATGTAACAATTAAAAATAGAGGGAAAGAATCCAGGTTATATACTCATTAAAGCAGCTCGGTTGAGTGCTATAACATCAACAATTGTGAGAGACACTTAAGGAAAAGTAGCCTACCCTCGTTGATGCTCCACAGTCCCGAGTGGGAGCTCATGTCCTCGAAGTCGCTCATGTTCATGGGATTCATCTCTATGATGTACCAGTACTCGGTTCCGAGGGAAGTCGCCAAAAAAGCGAAGCTGAGGATACCGCAGATGCCGGCTGTGACCACCAGACAGCCAAAGGTTACCTTCATCCTGTACAGATGAGGGTTTAATTCTCGCGTAACAGTGGTGGCTGTGAATCATGCGGGACGCGGATTTCTTTTTTTTTCTACTGTTGATCCAGTCTCTCAGGCGGGGGCGCGCTCATTACGAGCTTCGGAGAGATAAATTTAAAAAAAACCTACAAAAGTATAATGTTAAGTTTTCCTGAGGAAGCTGCAGTTAAAATCTACAGAATGAAGATCAACTTGTCCTTGACTGAATGAATCCAGTCACAAAGCTGCCTGAGGATGGTTAACAGCCTGACTGATGAGCAGCAGCTTCTATCTGGGAGGGACTTGAATTTATTCGCGGGGCGCACACGTTTACGCACGACATGGAGGGAGACAGTAATATAGGGAGACATGGGGAGTCTGCTGAGCTCAAAATAAATAAAAAGGAACAGAATAATAACTCATACATCTTTAAATCGTATAGGAGGTTGGTGGACTAAACAAGCAGTTTATTTGTTTGGGTTTATAAAAACATCAGCTTATTGTTATATCATAAAAGCCTATATAACTTTGCCCTTGCTCACATATGTTCACTCACCTCTGTGCTACAAGAGTAAATTTCCCATCGGAATACACCCACCCACCGAAAAATAAATAAGCCGAGTAAACAAAAAGAACAAGTTTAATGAAAGAAAAAAAAAAACAGAACACAGAAACAGAAGACATTAAAAGATGACAGATATACAGTTTTAAAAAGAAAACATGAATGCATATGAAGAGAACATGGAAATGACTTTAGGGAGAAACCAGCCAGTGGCTTTTCAGAGCCAATTAATCTCTCACACGACGCCCATCTTATTCATCAGCATCTATTCTAGTGTCACTCTTCTCCCATGGCTGTCTTGATGATATCTGCTCTTCTCAATTTGGCTGCCTCTTCAAACTTGGTGATGGCCTCGTTACAGGATTTGTTCTGTAAGTGGAGGAAATGAAATCTGCATCAGAGAGAATACCAAGGTCCCTTGATCTCACAGGAACTTATTAGACTCAAAGTTTTAGTCTTAAGAGATAATATAATAAAGATAACTCCATAAGAAAAAAATAGGAGAAATATGTTGGTGGTTATATTATCTGACTTACTTATTTAGTTACATAATGTACCCAACTGCTCATAATTTGAAAGTTATAAAGTCTTCTGTTGAACGTACAATGATGAACTTGTGCCTCTCCTTCTGTAGTTTGAAGAATTCCTCCACAGTCAGCTCTTCTACTTTCTTCTTCAAGGCAATAAACTGGCAGGATGGCGCATGAGATTTGTGCTCCTTTCTGGAGCGGTGAGAGGGGAGACAAATATTTAATTTCAAGGACCATGTGCAAATTGTGCACACACACACAGAGCAGGGATTAAATTGTACCAAACAGTCCACATGAGACTGCACTATTGTAATTTATACATTAAATCATTTCCTTAAAGTTTCTGTGAGGAGTGAAAAGTCTAGTTCACAATACAAGTCTGCTTGCTGTGGAGAAAACAGCTGGTATAAACTAACAATAAATAACGGTACACAATATTGTGAAGTTCAACAACAGTGACACCGACAGCAATTCAAGCTGTATCATTTAAATGACCATGAATACAAAGCAAATATTTACAGAGCTACAGGGAGTTCAGATAGTCAGTGGATGTATTTCTGGTGCATCAGTTGCAAACACTGCAAAATTGTGTAACACACCAAGGTCTTGTGAATTATAACAACATAAGTGGAAAATTCAACTGGAAATGGAACAGTGGTCACAAGCAAATGCACACATACCAAATGAAAGACACTTAAAAACAGTGACATGTGCTTTACAAAATTTTAAACTGCAGCCTCAAAATTAATTTTGAGAGTCAACAGCTCTTAGTCTAGGTTTAGGCTTTTTTTTGGGTACTATTTAAATTGTAGAGCACTTGGGTTATTTTGCCCACTGGCTGTATCACCAGATCTCCCACACAGGAAGAGTTTGTACTCAAGAGAGCTCCCTAAAATTGTGGTTATGTGAATCATTGTGCTAATTTGCACACACATTTATCTAGTCAGTTTTTAAAAGGCAATGCACTTATTATACACATTAGATACGTTTATAAGTCACACAGAGTTGTAGGTTTTCTGAATATTTCAGAAGTCGGAGAAAATAACCTTGATGATGTCTTGGAGACTACTTTTTTTTTTTTTAACAAAGCCTGTTACAAGCTTAACGTGAAGTTTGAAAGACGTGGCTGTTTACCAAAAAGAGAGGGTCTTTCTTTCTTAAATCTGCCTCTTAAGCCCTCTAACTTTATGGAAGTGTATATAATTCAGTTGTGTTGCAGCTTGCTGCGAGATATTTGTCTTTTTACCTTGCTGAATCATATTACAGTTGTTGTTGCTACTGCTACACCAAGGAAATCCTGTAGAGAATTAGTCTAGCTCAAAAATAAGATGAAGAAGAAATGAAGCTGCACCAATCTCCTGTCCTTTTATTCGCAGTTCTAACTCATGAGCCGAGTAATGTAGTTATCTTACACTGGATCATCCTCTGGCTCCCAGCCCTCCAGCTCTTTGAGGCAGAAGAAACACATGGCGATGTCTGGGCTGTTCTCTGACGGGGTGTGAATGAAGCCAGCTTTGGCCATCTGTAGAAACAAATGGACAGACAGATGGCATTATTATTTTTTTATTATTTAATGCTGAAATTATTTGTCAATTAATTGACTAGTTGATAGACAGAGAATTAACAACTTTATTGTTCCATAACTATTTTATTACCAAGCACAAATGCCCACAGCAGAAACAATAAGAAGATTAGCTGAGCAGTAAATCCACAGAAAAATAAGTTAAAAAATAAATCAGTTAATTGTTTCAGTGATTTTCCAAGAAAAACCCCAAAACATTCCTCAAGTTCCAGGATGTCAAATGTGAGGAATTTCTGCTACTTCCTGTTTTAAGATTATAAACTGCGTATCAATGCGCTTTAAGGTATTTGAAGACTTCATAGTGGGTTGTGTCTCCGGCCATTTTCTGAAATTGTACAGACTAAACGGTATTACTTAAAAACATAACGTTAACTGAGAATTAACTTAAGTCCATAATGAAAATACTCATTAGCTGACCTCAAATTAGAGCCACACTTTACAACAAGGTTGTATGTTGCTGTAAACGTTTCCAATGTAAAGCTTTCCCTACGAGACAGTGCTGCTGTACATTCAAGGATATTAATACCTAACCAGAGTGATTATGTACCTACAGCTGCCCCCAATGTAAGGTCATTAAAGCCTATTAATCTGAATATGAGCGGTGTTCTTGCTTCAGAGCTAACTGTTGTTGTGCTAACAACCGTACAGAAGTCAACCGTTTTCAACCGTTTTCAACCGTTCACTCACGTTCTCCGGGGTACACGAGCAGTCTTCGTCAAATGGCCACCCCTCGAAAGTTTTCAATCTGTTCTCATAAAAGTACATTTTGATATCCTCTTCGTTACACGGGTCCATTGTATTCAGCGTTAAAATAGATATCAATAACTCGAACCAGTGTTTCGCCTCCCAGCTAAATGGTGTTTTCAAATTTCGGTGAACGTTCTCTTCGACTGTTTTGATTGGCGGATGGAGACCACGTGGTTCTTCTTCGTATTTTCTTCTTCGTGGGTCGATTAACGTAAATAGTGCACACGTACGCCAGTCAGCGGTGTAGACGGCTACAGGCGCTAAAACATCAAACAGACACAATATATTTTAAATAAATCGTTTTTGGAAGAAGATTTAACACATTCCTCTCGTCCTTAGAGAGATTCACCTCTTCCCAGAGCCCAGAAAGAAATTTAAACACCAAACTCACCCGCCGTCTGTCAGGCATTAGACTTCCGTTTAGTTTTCATGGGTAATGTAGTTCTTGGCGGTTATTGGTCCACAACGCGGCGCGGGGAACTCAGAGAGCCTCCCATCCTCTGTCAACAACCGGTTCGAGATTACCTCGTCTAGTTTAACACAGACTTTCTCCTGTATGATCCCTCGCTCCGCTAACAGTGTGAACAGTGTGCCCAGCGTTACATATGCAGACGGGGCAGTTTCTTCCTGTCCTCCGTCGGTGTTGTGGCTATGGAAGGACGGTGTGCTGTTGAGACTTGGGCAGAGTTTGGCCTCTCAGGAACATCATGCACCCCGAAGGTCAAGTTTGGTGTTGGGACAGATGTGTTTCTCTGCACTGGCAGCGACGAGGTCTATGTATTCAGTACTAAAGAAAGAAAGCTCAGGGCAAGTAACTTATACAATGTGTATTGATCAAATATCAGAGCTCTGCAGAGCTCCACTCTGAGCTGACCAAGCATTAAAGATAACTCACATTTTCTGTTTGACTGTGTTTATGTTGCAGGCTGTCCTCCAGTTTCCTCATCCTGTGAGTGACCTATTTGAGAGTCATGACAAGCAGCTCCTCTATGTGGCCTGTAGGAGCGGAGTTTATTGTGTTAGTGTACAATTTCTGCTGTCCAGGTAAGAACCTTTTTTATGTGTTGCATAAAATGTGTTGAATTGAATCCTGTCAATGCCTCTTACTACGTATGTGATCTTTCACCTCTGCAGAGCTCAAAGCTCAGCGGCCGATGCATCTTCAGGTCCACCTGAGCTGAAGATCTCCTCTGAGCTTCTTGTTGTTCCAGAAGAAGGAGTGTTGTCGCTGCTCCTCGTCGGCTCCGTCCTCCTGACTCTTTCCCAGAGGGACGCATCCTGGATGTTGACACTGTATGACTGTCCAAAACAATCAGCGTCTAGCAGTTATGAGATGCTTACGTCATTCAGCCTGCCACTGGTGTCAGGTGTTGTACACAGTGACACTGAGGGAGAGACGGGGATGAGAAGGAGGCCTGTCCTGACATGTGTCCATTCCAGTGATACAACACCATCATCTTCCTCCTCACTGAGTGACAGCCACTTCCGCCTTGAGCCAGTCCTCTTCAAACTTCTGTTTGGGATCGACGCCGCCCTCGCCAAATCACCGGTTGTCCTTTGTGGCCTGCCAGACGGATGCCTGTGTTTCATTCCTCTGCGTGTGCCAGGATCGCGGCTCCGAGTCCTGCACAGCCTTGAGCAGCCAGTCGTATTTGTTGGAGCATCTGTTGTCATGGACACGGGTCCGGGACATGCACAGTGTTTGGTGACAGTGGGTGAACTAGGGAGAGTGGTGGTGATCAAAATAGACAAGGGAGGGCCAGAGGAAAGGGGCAACGTGGCTGGATTTATGGAGCGGTGTGTACCAGGGCCTGTGATGTGTGGGTGTATAGATAAAAACTGCCTTTACTACAGCACTGGGTCAGACCTGCTGAGACTGGCTCTATCAGAGGGATCATCTGGGATACGAGGCCAAGAAAGGGATGAAGATACATCCAGTAAGACAGACGCTGCCCTCCAAAGCCCCACCAGTTTGAATGTGTGTAGAGTCATTGCCTTGGCTGAACCTACAGGCAACACTGCAGGTAAGTGTTGATCCTTGAATGATTTCC